ACGCTTTTTATATCCATTTTAACTGTTTGGAACGAATAATTAGACCCATGACTTTATTTGTGGTGTCTAAAAAACTGTTATCAGGACCCCTGAACTAAATACAAACATGGGAGACATGAGGGAAGCCGCATTGCCATCGACCAAAAGATGGCGGCGAGCACGGTAAGCGCGGGTTTCGCCAACGTCCTGCGACAAGGCGCAATTGTTTTTGGTGCATATCTGTTTTCGAAACATGTTTCTTTCCGCGACATTTGTCTCGGCGGTCCTTTCTAAGTGTGTCCCCGGGCATTCCGGTGCTTCGATAGCCGGCAATGCCGCGGTCGTCGCCGAGGGCGATGCGTGTTATCGAGGTCGGCTACACGGTTATGTGTGTATGACCGAACCAAAACACGTTTTTTACCACCTCGCATGATTTCTGAACGAATTATCCGTTACTCATCGTGTAAAGTTATGGTAATTTGTGTAAATAGCGTGTTTTTCACCCCAAATATTCGCCAAATATACGGGACTTGCTAACAGTCTACGAATTTCAATCTCGGAGCAACGACTGTCAGGCGGACAGCAAATGGGAGAAGCAGAACATGGTACTCGCAACGCCGTCATCCGACCAAGCGGCCCGAACGAAATCGCAATGCACCATACTATCTGCGACTGCGTTGGATGATTTGAGTGACGAAGTTCGGGATGCATCTAAATTCTCGTAGCATTGTCTTAGCTAAAGCTCAAGAATTTAAAGCAGCTCGCCCCAGTAGGCTACAACAAACGTTTTAAGCAAATTCTTTATTTTTTTCTTATTGCATCTTTATTACTTTTGCATCGGTGTGTATATGTGTGGGTTTGTATTCGTTTATATTTACTATGTTTTGCTTCCCAAGATAAATAAATATGCTTCAAATATAGGCTGAGAGAACTGTCGTTTCGACGAGACGGGGGGTGATGTTTTTAGTTTGTTTGCCCCATCCACTAAAGGTCATCCTGTGATATTCTACACCGCCTTATTATAGTTACGAATTTGCAGAGGGGAAGCTGATGGGATTAAAAGGGTTAGGGCAGGAATCATACTTTTTTCGGTTTCTATTCAAGATGGCACGAGCTACCACCCATTATATAGGGTACAGTCGTTAGCATCAATAAAATGTTTGATGAGCTCAATGACCATAAGCCAATGCCAGTGTCGTAGAGGATGCCATGCAGCCACGTCTGTCTAATCGGTCACTGAGTGAAGTAACGCACCACGGCTCTCGGCTCGTGTAACATGAGTTTGCACTAAGTAGATAATCATTGTGCCGGCATGCGGTCGTCCAAAGCCACTGCGTGAGTCACGTTAAAAACCTTGGTCAGCCGTTGTAGAGAAATGTATACTTTTAATATGTACATGGTGTAACGGTGTCGCCACGCTTTTTAAGAAAAAGTTCACGCAGCGTAAACATCTAACATTTAGCATGTTTTGTTGTTGTCGTCATAGGTGGTGTTCAAAATGGGGGATGTAGCATTGTATTGAAAGCTGCAAAGCTCAACTTTGTTCTAGCAACTCTAGGACAATGCCGCATAATAATATTTAATGGAAACCTGAAAATCAAAATCTGCTTCATTGGCCTTTTATATTGATTTCGGCCATTTGGTTTCCATGCATATCGACCTTTCACTGTGCTTGCTTGGCCAATTTATCGGCGTGCGCCCTTCACAGAGTTTGAATGTTGCCCGTTGTATCCCAGTGACTGACACCGTCAAGAGCACTCTCCCTGGCTTTTTTATACGCACTGCCGTATTACAAAAGATGTGGGATGGACCTTTGCAACACAGAAGGAGCTTAATTCTACATGTCCATTCAGGCAGCCGCGTTTTATTACGACTGAATATGATGTGACAAGGTGCAACCACAAGTCAAAGGGACGTCCGTGCTTCACATGTGGCGTGCAAACCTACACCATAAACTAGTAGTCATGATTAATACAAAGCAAGGATGTGCTAGTGACTCGAATTCGCGACTCCGTTAACGTAATTGAACGTACTGTATGAATGCGTATTTAAGCAAAATCGTTCGACTGATGAGCACTTCAATTGTGTATACCAAGTACCCATTCATAGGTCACCAGTAAGAATAAATTCCGTCATCTTGACATTTATGAAAATGGAATGATAATTGCAAATATCTGGCTGAGACCAAAAATATTAGGGCCCAGGCAATATGGTTGTTTTTAATTTAGGATGCTAAACAGATTATATATTGGCCAGTCTAATATGTGTTTAAAACAATTAGTAAAAATTGGCGTAATAGTAGTTAAGACAAAACACCACCTTATTTATTTTTTGTGCAGGTTATATGATACACTGCTATAAGATGTGCCAAACGCCGTTAGGGTAATTTAGCTTGTATCAGACTTATACATGCTGGATCAGACGCAGACGTAAATGCGCATATTACCATAACAGCTAACTTATAAAAGGGGGTTGACAGAGCACCGCCACGTTACGACCTCAGACCCTTGGTTCACAAGACTTATTGCTAAATTGTCCACACAACCCAAATCAATTATTTTTATCTAGTCCGTTAATGTAGTTTTTTTGTACTATTTACTAAAATTATTTTACGGATTTGTTTAAAAAAAAATAGCATAAATAACTTTGGGCAAACACATATGCGTGTTTATTTTCTACGTAACCTAAACACTTGTTATAAACATGAAATCCACCAGTTGATAAATACTTTAATTACACTGCTAAATGCGCTGAAGATTATTACAACGATCACCTTTATGTCATGTTTCGCGCTAGGTTTTTAATGAACATACTGAATGAAAGGTTTTTGCATGCAACCGTGAGTGTAAACGCTTGTCTTGCAAACATATTCAAGCAACTATTTAATTTTAAACGAAATTTATCAATTAACAGTGCGAAAGAAGCACAAATGCGCTCCCTCGCATCTAGTAATTTTTAGAAGTCGCCAGATTAAATATTTCAGCCTTTTAGAAAAGTTCAACTACAAGCTGTAGACAATGTAGACATCAATATTGAAATCTGCTTATGGCTCTATATTCTTCAGTTCTCTTCTCTGGAGGCTTCGCAAGGTTCTCGCGGAGCTCTGAAGTACATACTATACTAGACTAGGCTGCATAACCTCCTTGTTGCTGGGGCCTTGTGCGGATGGCTTTGAAGGCAGACTTACCGTTGAAATGCAGAGTCCTCTTCTGCTATAAAAACACTACGTAATGTACACTCGATGCTTTAAACGATGGAAAACTGTCGTTAAGTAACGTCTCAAACTTAGCTTTTTTTAACGTTACAGAAGTATTTACCAGTGCTCATCCGTAGCATACTGGATGTCAGGGGTTCTTGAAAACTGTAAAAGAACTCAATCTCTCACGCCCTTCAAAGATGACTACTTGGAAGTACATTATTGAAGGAAGAGTATGAAAGATATTTTGAGCATTGTATTCGTGTAAACTCTTTCGACTAACTGGCTTTATATTTAGTACACCACGTTATTCTCAGAATATCCTTACAGCACTATACAATTCACGGATGTCAAAGAAACGTCTATGTAAGAGTTTTTTTTTTTTTTTTTATACAGCAGCACACGTAGAGCTATCAATAAAACCACGAGCTTGCACAATTTAAACTAATTGTTCAATGTTGTAATTACGACTACCTGCTACTACGTCTACGTTTACTACTTAGTGAGGCCCACTCACTGCAAACTTACTCCGTACAAAAACAAAAAACAAAAAACATTCTATTGAAAAAAAAAAAAAACATTTGCTCATAACAATTATGCTTGCGAAGCTTGACGTGAGCATGTGAAACGGCATGAGTTAGCTTACATCAGAAACATAAATTTTATATTTACTCATATCTTAGTCATTGGCATGCACTGAGCTCGTTTGCAGTTGCAGTAACTGACTGTTTACGTGCTTCGTAGCGTGCACACGTACCCCCCACGAAACTGCAGAAGAGCATTTTGCACCAAAGCGATGTTCGCAAGGAAGCATGAAATCAAAAACGTACAAGTATATTGCAAATGTTTTTATTGTAAGTAAAAACAATCGATACAACAAACGTCAAATTTATTACTTCCCCTGTTTTCGGATGTACCTTCCCGCCCAGACCAAATCGTTCTCAAGCTTAGCAGCACTTAGGGGAGAACTCTTGGGGCTCACACAAACAGTCAAACTTACCATTCACTTTGAGGCTTTTTTTAAGATCTAAATGAAAATAAAAAAAATGTCACGATCAAAGAAAAATTTAACTTAGCACACAAAGAAACAGTTTCTGGACGAGTTCCGTTTTCTAAAGAGCGCGCGCTCCTGTACAGTAACATACAACGAGACATGAGTCTCGAGCAGCGATGAAAGTACCACCAGTCGCTAACCCCTGAAAGCGTATTTACATGTAACGGCTTCATTTCGGACGTATGCTTACGTATAATTTCGCGATCATCGAGACGTCCGCAGCGAATGTCTCCTATTCGTCCATGACCACACACACCACTGGTTTCACAAAAGTTGTATTACGTATTTCCTTTTCCTTCTTGAGACGATGACAGGGTGACACGAAGCCTTGGAGCAACCGCACTGCACGTCTATAAACGACAGAACTGCACCCGATGAGGACTGTTTTCTAAAACAGTGTCGAAAATCTCGTAGGCGGGGGACATCTTTCCATAGGTAGCGCCGCCCGACTTGCTGAGTGGTTGCACTGTTCCGTGAGGGACGGTTGGTTCCACTTTGGGCGAGCTGAGTCCAACGTAGATCAAACACACCGTCATCGGAAGGTCAGCACGTTTTTGCAAACTGTTTGAGCGCTGACCCGCAGCACCGCCATCCATTATCCCCTGTCGACCACAGGTGACGCTCTCCCGTAGTGTGCCGGGAGCCGCGGCTGCGTGGTCGGGGCGCAGACTTGGGAGTTTGCCGATGCGTGCCACTGATTGCACAACTCGACCACGTATGCTTTCCTCTTCGTCCCATATTCCTTTTTTCTGGTTGTGCCACCGCAGAGCGGAAAGAAATAAGCTGCGGTGCTTGCGAAGAGCCGGCTTTTGGAAGGTTAGAGTCCGCTGCGTAAAAGAGATAAGAACATGCGGTTTAGTGCGGCGGAAAGCGCACTCCAAACAGCGAGTGTTCTTACGGGCGAATAGAGAACCGACGCAAACTGCTCAGGATGCACAGAGAGAGTGAAAGAGCAGAAAGGGCCCATTAGGACCGTCGTTACAGCCGTACCCGAACTAAAAAGAGAAAGGCCGTGGGGTTTCCGGATATGCCACCTGGGAAACGTCACTGCCCAGGGACCGCGCTGTGTACTTATTTATGCCTCCCTGCGCGCCTGTGTTTGGGATAAACAAGGTTTGTTTACGACATTGCGCTTTATAGTGGGTTTGTGGGCTCGCGCGTCTCTATTTCTGCAACCAATAACATGAGCATTTCGGTGCAACACCCATGTTTGCAAGCATGCGGAGTAAAGCTCTGTTCAGCAAGAGAGCCGTACTTGAGTATTTTTTTATTTTTGTTATTTTTTGGCTGACTTCTCGTTTAAGTCGGTGACCCTGCCTGGGGGTTTCGCTGTTGTAATATATTAAAACATAATAAGCCCCAAGTTTTGCTATGAAGTTTCAAACGTAAATACCAGGGCGTCACATTCGTACTGTTGCATTTACGTTCAAATCATATATCCGAAGCTGGCTAGATAAACGCTGCTAAAATGTTTTAACAGTCAGCCCTCCCTATACATATTTATGAAACCCAATTAATAACCCGCTTAATGCGACCTATATTTATAACTGACATGTTCACCTTATGCGCAGTATTAACAATGTATTTGGCAATCAAGGAAGCATTTCTCATTTGCTAATTAACGCTTTGAATTTTAGTTTTAGTTAGTAACTTAAAATATTTGTCAGCATTATTTTCTATGAAAGCGAAAATGTTAAAAAGGACATAGGGTTTATTTATGTCTTGCAGCCGAAGCATGTAAGCACTACTTGAAGCGGCGTAATATACCACAGGTTGACTTCACTTTTTTTGTGACAAACAGAATAGCAAGTCATAATCTATAATTTTATACAGAACGTGAAAAAAACATGCTGCGAGTGTTAAAGTGGGAGGCGGCACTTTTTTGATATGTTTAACTTCTCGACGCTAAACTATTTAACATGCGATGTCTTCACGAAACGTCAGCTATATCCCGACTTGTGCGGTAATTATGACGGCTACCCTACAGAAAAATCCGGTATAACTTTTCGCTATCCGCATTATGGAACCGGTAATCTATCTTGATTTTATCTGGACTCTTTCTGGAATTTAGGTTTACAGATATTGTTTTTTAGCCTGCAATCTGGATTTCGGGTTTCCAGAAAGAAATTTTCCGGTGCCATAATCCGGATAGTGAAAAGTTATACCGGATTTTTTGGTAAGGTAAGTAAACTCTTTGTAATCATTTATTTTTTGGGTCATTTAGGTAATCATTCGAGCATATTTATTGGGAAGTAATCACAAGCATAATTTGAATATATTAGGAAGGTACTGTGATTATTTGTAACCGCTACTAGAGGCTTTCCCGTTCAAAATAATCCATGTGCCAGCTTTTCTGTCCGAGTGTACCTGGTGCAACTAAACTTAATCTAGCTGTGCACCAATTAAATGCAAGTGTCCATCAATTAAACCCAATTTCTCAACAGTTTTAACCCAGTGCCATTCATTTTAATTCGAGACGAACTATTTTTTTATATATATATACGAATTAACTGTGACTACTAAGTCATTTGTTACAACCGTTTTAAAGGTCTAAGTTGCTTGCGAGACGGGAACGACTTTTCACTGTACATGAGCGTTGCGTGACTAGTTCTCTTGAGAATTTTGAGGAATTTCTTACGCCATAATAAAAAAGCTCGAGATTGAGTGAGCGGGTGTTGTGTCGGTTTCAGTGTAGTAAAGAAAGTTTTCAAGAAGCTCGACGGTAAAACGTGTTGGAAAAAAATTATATTTTTATTAGGTGTTTGCATTCAATTGCATGAACTTTTAATTGCCAATCAAGATACTGATTTCCGACTGCGTTTATTCCGAACTCAAATATGTGAGTTTCATATCCTCGGTGTGAGAGACAAAACAACGCACGTGCTTGAAATGATTGCGGTCCTAAGCTGCGCAATCAACACGTTGAATTTTCAGCATTGCTTCTTGCGTCGGCATTTGCAGCATCTGCCATCGGTGTTCCTTTAAAGGTGAAGCTTCTAGCGGCGTAAGGACGGCTGCGCCATGCTCACCGAGGTAAGTTTTTACGCCGGATTTGAACTCGGAAAGCATATATTAAATTTGAAGAGCGGACTGTATGGCGCAAAGTACGGCAAAGAAGGCCTCTGGGCAAGGCGGGGTCTGTGGCTCGTCGGTGTACGGGACCATTCTAAAATATGATGACCGCATCGTTCCCAGGAACCGTTGCCATGATTTCCCTCGAAGATTTCCTTCAGAAACTCGTTTAAAGCCAACCAAGACACGTTTTTTACACTTCTCCACAAGAGGGTCTCAACAGCAGACATGCATGAGAGGATGTTGGTATTGGGCGCTCCGGTACCTGTGTTCTAACGCAAGCGTACTTCCAATGTTTTGACCTACCAAACCTCCGACTACACCAACCATTAAAGTTTGTCTCGTCAACGTAATATCGAAGTTGAAGCGGTCCGTCCCCCTGCAGCCATGAAGCGCATTCTCTTCTTGCACATTTTACGTCATCGCGATTTTGGTCAACGGGCCGTAAAGAAAGTTACTTTGTTTTGTATCCTGTGCACCATATGTCTGTAAATACCAGATAGGCTGATTTTAACACCTAATTCAGTTTCTTCAAGCTCTTGTTTTAGTTGCTTAAATGTGTAGATTGGGTTGCTCATTCAGCATAGCTGACAGATCCAGTACGTCATCGGTGTCGAATATATTCTTTGAGCTCCCTCTGTGGTTCGGTTCAGATCTGCCAGACTTCGCAATGAACCGAGCAGTTTTCTCGTTTATTCCTAATGTTTCAGAATATTGCTTGATGTTACCGCCTCGTCGCCAGCACTCAAACAGCCGCGCCCAATATCGATCGGATACATTTTTGTGTGATTGCTTAGGTAGGTTTAAATCCTTCCGAGGCCGACCTCAACGCATTGCGTTGGACAAACTCATTGCCAAGAGCGTTCACAAATGCGAATGACTTGCGTGAAAACCAGCGAATCGCACCAATTGTTTTTTATATGCCTTGAAGAGTTGAGAATGGCCGCCGTCTGCAACCATGGCACGCCGCAATCATAGAGCGAATTGTTTGTAGACGATTTAAAGTAGCGCACGAAGCCCGGTGATGAAACAACGGTCCGGCTATAATATAGCGCGAAGTTTTCGCAGACAGTCGCCATGGAATACCAGACGACGTCCGAGGATGAAAACATCGGACAGCGCTTCTTGCGTGGTATGGAAACACTCCGTGGTATGCTTGCGCCTTGCCGCGGTTGTAGACGATGACATGACATCTCCTGCTTGGTTGCGGAGGCGACCGTTTCTAAACTTTTCAAGGCCGATAAAAACTGTTGCAACGGTTAGGCGATTTGCACGCAAGTCATTCGCATTTGTGAACGCTCTTGGCAATGAGTTTGTCTAACGCAATGCGTTGAGGTCGGCCTCGGAAGGATCCAAACCTACCTAAGCAATCACACAAAAATGTATTTGGTCGATATCGGGCGCGGCTGTTTGAGTGCTGGCGACGAGGCGGTAACATCAAGCAATATTCTGAAACATTAGGAATAAACGAGAAAACTGCTCGGTTCATTGCGAAGTCTAGCAGATCTGAACCGAACCACAGAGGAAGCTCAAATAATATATTCGACACCGATGACGTACTGGATCTGGCAGCCATGCTGAATGAGCAACCCAATCTACACATTTAAGCAACTAAAACAAGAGCTCCGAGCAACTGAACCAGTTATCAAAATCAGCCTATGTACTTTTGACACACTTTTGGTAAGACACGGTTACACAACAAATTACCTTTTCCTGTAGCCCATTGACCGAAATCGCGACGACGTAAAAGTGCAAGAAATGAATACACTTCGTGGCTGCAGGGAGATGCCTCGCTTCAACTTCGATATTATGTTCACGAGACAAACTTTAATACTTGGTGTAGTCGGAGGTTTTGGAGGTCCAAACATGAGAAGGACGCCGTTGTGAGAACTAAGGTACGAGAGGGCCCAATATCAACATACCCGCATGCATGTCTGCTGACGCAATCCTCTTGCAGAGAAACGTAAAAAAAGTGTCCCGGTTGGTTTTCAATGATTTCGTGTATGAAGTTTTGAGAGGGAATATGGCCATAGCTCCTGACCAGGATCGGGTCATTGTATTTGATAATGCTCCTGCCAACGTTATTAGATTAGCGCAGTTACGGAACTGTTCACAGAGGCCGCATGCACGAACAGTACCCCCCCCCCCCCCCCCCTCACTTACCACGACTCCACCAGCGTCGCTCGACGCGCCGCCAGACGGCTGCTTTGGTAACTGAATCAGGATACGTACGTTTCAACGTTACTAGAAACGTAAAAACTAACGGGGAAAAAAAACTTCTTTTGTAATAACTTTTATTGGAGTTTAGTACAAAATGGGGGGCGCGTGATGTTTTCTAAAATCTTTAGTTTGCAAGGTTTTGCGGTAAAATTAATATTGTTTTCATACAACGATGCCTCAGCGGTGATTTCAGGTAGCGCGTCCCGACCTAGGCTCATCCTGAATTCGGGGTAAATTCGCGGCGCGTCCGCTGGGGAGGCGGGGGTGGCATCCCAGTAACCCTTTCCACTTATCTCTTTCGGCTCCGAAATGGCCGATTGAAGCCAAAATAGATGTTACGTGCAATTCTTCGAGTGAGCGCTGCAGGATAAATGGCGGCGTTGTGGTCACAATTTGGCGCTTCAGCTAGGCTTTTTGGAACGCATAGTTATGAAACGAAAATATAAATGGCGCTCCGAACGACGGCTGGTGGATTGAAGTGAGTGAGGGAGGCGGGGGGGTACCCCCCTCCCGGGAGTTTCATAACTGAGGTAAT